TGTGTGCAGTGTTGAGCAGTACATTGCTGCTCTATGGTTGTGTAGGGTGTTGAACAGTACATTGCTGATTTATGGTTGTGTGGGGTGTTGAACAGTGCATTGCTGATCTATATCATTTAGGGCTCAAACGGTCACGGGTTTACCCCTAACGGTTAACTGCTAAGCTAACGGTCGGTTTAACGGTTATAACCTATAAGCCACGGGAATCCTGCGGACTCTTTTTTAACCGTATATTTGACTATAAAAAATTCAAGAAATGTACCCTATTCAGTACAGCAAACACATGTACATTCTCTTGCATGCTCATTCATACATACTCTCACACCAAGAGACCAGATATGACCGAGTTGACAGCCCAGAAATTGCGTACGCGTGCGACAGCCTGCGAAAGTGCATACTTTGCAACGACATGATACTTGAAAAATTGACTGAAAAGTTACTGCGTAACCGTTATCTTTGTCGGTTAACCGTTAATTCTTCGTAACCGGTCTGCAACCGGTTAATCGGACTAACCGTTTGAGCCCCAATATCATCTATGGTTGTGTAGGGTGTTGAACAGTACATTGCTGATCTATGGTTGTGTGGGGTGTTGAACAGTACATTGCTGATCTATGGTTGTGTAGGGTGTTGAACAGTGCATTGCTGATCTATGGTTGTGTGAGGTGTCGAACAGTGCATTGCTGATCTGTGTGGCGCGCGCGCGCGACACACGCGCGTGTGTGTGTGTGTGTGTGTGTGTGTGTGTGTGAATTGGCGCTAGTCTTGATCTGTCTCATTTAGATCTTGTCCGCTATCGTTGCTATAAGAGAAAATCTGTGGGTGCACATCCAGTGCATTTGCAGATTTGCGTGCTGCTCTTGCGAAGGGCGTATACATGATACAAGGTGGTACATGGTGTGTGTGTGTGTGTATGGGTCTGAATGCCTGTCTGTATGTCTGTCTGTCTGTGTGCCTGAGTGTGCGTATGTGTGCGTGTGTGTATGTATGTGTGCGTGTGTATGTATGTGTTGTGTGTGTGTGTGTGTGTGTGTATGTGTGTGAGTGTGTGTGTGTATGTATGTGTGTGTGTGTGTGTGTGTGTGTGTGTGTATGTGTTTGTGTGTGTATTTGTATGTGTGTGTGTGTGTGTGTGTGTGTATGTGTTTGTGTGTGGGTGCGTGCGTGTGTGCTTATTGGTTACCATGTCACTGTTGCATGAATTCTCACGCTGACGCGCCCGTAGCCCGTCCCAGCCAGGCCGCTGGTACGGGAAACGCCGACGGTGGATGGAATCAGCGTGTCGCTTGCAAGCCAATTGAGGACCAGTGATCCTGTCGCAGAAGACGAAGGTAAGTCTTCCGCGGTGCTGCCTTCCTTGACACACTCCGACAACGGATGTTCTTGCCATTACCGTAAAGGTCCGTAGATAAGTACGCACTTTTCTGCTTGTAACCGGAAGGATGTTTTCCAGCCGTGCTGCAACCCACAGGTTTTGGGAACTCGCGGCCTGGCATGAGGGAAGCATGAATGCAGCGAAAGGGAATTTCGGTTTTGACCACTTTGCTGGTTAGCTGATCTACTCACCTCCCACCGCTGTAGGAGCTGCATCTGCGCCTTGACCCATAGAGGGTGGCGGTGTTCCTACGGATGCTGACAACACAGTCTAACTGAGTCCCATGCGAACCGTGACTTTTTTAAATATATATTTGTACTTTCGAATTTAGTGGTCACACCCGTACTAACCTTTGGGCGGGTACTGGCTTTCGGGCACGAACTAACTTTCGGACCTGACTTGTGTGTGTGGTGGAAAAGTCATTTTTCACGTAGATGTGCACGCTACGTGCAAGTACTTATTTACAGACTTTTACCGTATTATTCCACAATCACAATGACATAATGTCAATAAACATGTGGTGCCGGCGATTTTAACCAGCCACGGTGATGCTCAATTTTGTTTGAAAAAGCAACATGAAAAATTGAAAATAGATCAATGCCGTAATTCCGCGCATATAAGCCCATGGGCTTATGTGTGAAGTAATGCAGTTTGGGGATAAAATATCCAGTAAAAGATGTTCGTTTTTTAGCCCATAGGCCAATATTCGCATTTTGAAGGTTCACGAAAAAGTACAAGTCCGTGGCCATAGTGGGTCTACCATACTCTACTGGTACACTGCACTGTCCTGCTGTACCATGGTAAGAAGAGTCCATAATTGTGAAAAATTCTACTTGACACGCGAGTTTCATTTGTGTCTGTTTATTAGCCCACGGGCTTATAAATGGAGGTGGGCTTATATCCGGGTATAGGCCTGTGGGCTTATATCCGGGTATAGGCCTGTGGGCTTATATGCGCGGAATCACGGTACTCGGGATGTTGCGGCAATAGAGAATAGTTTCAAAATCAGGGTCCGTAGAGTTTGGGGCGCCGAGTCGAATGGTCTTTGTCCGATGAGGCTGCGGTCTATGGTTCGTCAGATACGCCCAATCGAACATGTGCGAATTCGAGCGCGCATCACTCAGATGCAGGTGATGACGTCACAGCGTGCAGCCAGGTAGCCACACCATCTACAGTGAAGCCTGTCTAAGGTGACCACTCAAGGGACGAGAAAAAGTGGTCGCCGTGGCCAGGTGGTCTTCTTATCCAGGTTCAGTGGGTCACGTGACCATATCCACATGTGATACATCATTTTGATCAGTGCATCACAGTGCACACACCTATGCTACTCTAGCACGACTCATGTGCCTGGGGTCCTCATACCTGTCAAATGTCGTGCATGCACCATGTACATCTACACTTCCTGCACTGATGTGTAGATCCACCATGCCTGGTGCACCATGCAATGCGTACATTTACATGACTAGCACTGTGCAACGCGGTCGCGGGTGGGTGGTCGCCGGTCGCGTTGAGCGAGTGGTCGCCTTATCCGAGGTGTTTTGAACGTGAATGCGTCCGTGACAAGGAAAAGTGGTCGCCATGGTCGAGTGGTCGCCATATCCGAGTGGTCACCATTACAGGGTTTACTGTATCTGCGTAAAAATGGCCCTTATTCTTGTTCGATGGGGGAACCGTTTGTCGCAGCTCCTTCGGACCAAGACCATTCGATTCAGTTTCACAAACACTACGCATCCTGTGATTTTCAGCTCAGCGAATCTCGAGGTTTTCCCGCCTTTTAGCCGTTTCCGAGTTGGACTTTTTCTGTCCGCACGCTGGCCTCTGCGTGCATGGTAGCTGCAGAGTGTACGGTCAACTTCGCTAATAACGACTGCGAATATAACGACAATTCGCGAATAGCTACAGAATTTCCATGCCCAGAGCAAAGTCCCATCCAAGTGTAATGCATAATTATAATGAGACTGCGGGCATTTCGACACTTCGCAAATAAGGACACTTTTCTGATGCCCCGCCGAGTGTCGTTATACGCGAAGTTGACTGTACTCTACAAACTCACCCCACGCGGAACATGACTACTCCCGCACTGGCATTCTAGTACTGCTGCGTTAGTCGTGTGGTAGATCTACAAGACTCGAGTCACAAGAGTCAAGGGTGCGTGCGTGCGTGCGTGAGTGCCTGCATTATGCATCTGTGTCTGTCTGTGCATGCGTGCATGTGTGTGTGTGTGTGCATTGTGTGAACGTGGCAGGAGACGCGAATCCCGTGACGTACTCCGCCATGCTGGAGCCCTATGGAGATCGCGTGAACGTGCTGCGACTGCACGAGATCCTCCGCGACACGTCGCAGGGGCACCACGTCACGCCGCTATCCGCTGTTCTGTCGGCGACGGGCGCTCCTCACACACTGCAGGCGTTTGCCGAGAGCGTCGACGTGTCGTGTCAATTTCACAAGGTGCACGAGACGGTCAAAGACGACGCGCCGCTGTTCCTGACGATTCTCTTCGTGTCTGCCCGCACGGGCATGGAGCGTGTGGTCACACACGGCTGCGGGTGCACCTACGCAGAGAGCTGTTTGCAGGCTCTCCTGGCCACGCTTCATCAGATGGACGTGCTGAAGGTGCATCAGAAATGGTGGCGATCGAACGGCCGTGGCGCGGGCTAAGCGTGAGCCGCCGCTCTCGACGACTCTCGAGCTGTGTGGGTGCAAACAGGTACGCGCATGCGTGGGAATGAGCGTTTGCCTGCTTCCAATGCCCCGTGCTTGCATGGATCCACGCACCGCCATTCGGTTACTATGGTGATGTTGGCTGCTCTCCTTCACGATATATTTACACCATGTGTTACTGGTTATATGTCGATCCCGGTTATAACCCCCTCCTTACTTCTTTATATATTTTTTTACCAAGAACACAGCCCTACTGAAAACCATGTGGAGAACAACATAGGATGAACTCGGATGGAGAGCCAGGTATTACTGGCAGTTCCTTGGTCCTTTTTCTTTTCTATAGAACAACATAGAATAATATTGCCAAGTATGACAAATCGGGGGCTCGGTTTTTCGCTTAAACGGCAATTACTAGTAAGCCCCGGCTGTGAGTGGACTACTTTACCCCTTTCTATCTGTGTTAGGTCTTAAACTTAAACGGTCGATATGAAACCGGTGAAACCGGTCAGTGGGAAATCTGATTTCGGTTTAGTTGAGTGCCGCCACATTGTGTTTCAGCCTAACTCAACTAGCTGTACGTGCGGTAATTATTTCCACATAGGCTGCAGGTTTTGGATGTCGTGTGTTGTCTTTTCCCAGGCGTTCACCACGTCACCAGTTTTGCATTGTGTTATTTGTGTTTTAAGCACGGCAGGGAATGAGATCTTGTTCTGTTGTTTCATCTCAGCTCCCCTCCCCCTCTTTATCTCCTTCTGTTACTTTAAAAAAATACTATAGGGCTATCATTTTGGATTTACGTTCACCAAATCAATATGACTGGATCAAGGCAGTTGAGTTATATTGGCCAGCAACATGTCACCTATTGTTTTGCCGAATTCATTCTTTTTCATATCTAACGTTATAATAATTATCCAAGCTTGACTGATGGCAGCTTAGAAGGTCGAGGCGACTAGCTGTGGCTCGGATTGTGCTGGTCCAGCTGAAGAGCTTAGTTGGCATTTCTTTCCATTTGATCTTTCCCACTGCTTGCCCCACTCCAACCGTGCCGATTTTGAAGTTCACTCGAAGTGTGACATCTTCCCAATCATGAGTACATAACCCCCTGGACGGGTGTGGAACTCCACTATGCATGTATGGGTGCTGTCCCGAGAGAATTTCAAGTTATTTGACCTCATTTCTGATGATGCAATGCGCATTGTACACATATCATGTATCCTGGACCCGTTCGTGGTGGGGAAATCCCCGTTTGGTCCTGTACAAAAATAGTTCAAGGAAACAGGTGTGAATTGATGAAATGACACCCTGCGCAAACGTCATTTTAAAATTAATCTCTCGTGCGAGGAGCATCGCACGGCCACACGGGTACGGCGACCACCTGTCGCAGAAGACCACTGCAACCAGGACCAAGAGATGCTATTTCCAGTCAAATGACCCTGGATAAAGAGACCACCTGGTAAGAGAAACCACGTTTTGAAGGTCCCTTGAGCGGTCGTCTTACACAGGTTTCACTATAATGTCAGTTCAACATCAGATATAGCACAATCACGTGATTAGCAATGATGAATTTTCAAGTTGTATCAAGTCGTATCAGTTTGAGAGAGAAAAGCATGATATGGCAGCGGATGAATGTGTATTTTATTTAGATGTTGTTACATCTCAAGACTCGGTGGAAACACCGGCCAATGTTAAGAGGGTGCGTGATTGCCAACCACGGCGATAAATAGAAGTAAAGGGAGGGAAAACGAAAGAGTAGCAAAATCAACAGCAGCAACAACTCCGTAAACTGTTCATTTACATCATGCAGGCCAGACTCGGTGTCTGAGCGTTTTACTAACGTAACTACTGAGTCTCTTATGAAATTGCTGTAATCGCTGCTTCAGAGAAAATAATATTTCCCTTGCACGGTAGTGGGTGATTTTAGATTTCCTTTGGGGGGGGGGGATTAAGTGATGTGATTACTGAATCTCGTTTGAAATTGATGTGATCACCGTCTTGCGTCCGAATGATTTCCAGCAGCTCATCCTCAGCCTCTGAGCCTTTCGCTGACGTAATTCGCGTAGTGCCCGACGGCGCTCAGCAGCTCGTCACACTTCAGCATGCTCTTGATCAGCGTACTTAAAAAAATCAAATCTCTTGATTCTAGCAGGTCCGCCTACGCCTTTCTTCTCCGAGCATTTCATTGATGTAGTTCGTGTAGTGCCCGACGGCGCTCACCAGCTCCGCGCACTCCAGCATGCTCTTGATAAGCGTGCGGTTGGGCACGAAGATGCCGACGCGCCGCCGCCAGCTCATCAGCACGTCCCTCGCGCACGCCTCGGCCGTGCGGTGGTCGATCTCTATGGCGGCGATGCGGTACTGCGGGATGTCCAGAACCGCGGCCAGGTCGTGCCAGTCGGCGCCCACGTACTTGGCCAGCTGCATCAGGTGGCGGTCGGTCGGCACCGCGTTGCACACGTGACGCGGTATTTCTACGGCACACGCACACACAGACGAGAAGAGCGAATACAGAAGACAGTTATATTAGGCTTCTCGTTGTTGTTGTTGTTACTTTATTTTACTTCACCAGAATTACAGGCAGTAGAATGCCTTCTCCCTTGACCAGGGTGCGCATCGGACAACACCACGAGTGCTCAGCGGGGTAAGGGTATGACACGTTGTTGTTTTCTTTATTTGAATTCGCTAAAACCAAACGGACAGAACTATCCAGTGACAAGGGATAGTTCTGTCCGTTTGGTTTTAGCGAATTCAAATAACGAAAACACGTGACGTATTTCTAAAACACAAGCACACAGACGTAATGTTTATAACGCTTTGCGTGACACTCGGCTAGACCCAGTTTTCCACATCCGTAGCAACGCCACTACCCTCAAGGATCACAGACACAGCCAAGGAGTAAACCCAGAAGGTCGTTTTCTTCATATTAGGCCACGCATCAACCGACTGACAACACCCCAACGTGCTCAGTGGGCCTAGGATATGCCGCTTCACAGAGTTGTCATGGCAACCGTCAGAACACAGACTTTGGTTCTGCTATTCTATTGTCAAGCACGGGAAAGCAAGTGCGGGGAAATCCCTCTCGGTCTGGGCTGTTGAGGTCAGGAGTTGTCCCTCGTGCTCTTGGAATAGTAGAGAGATGCAGGTAAAACGCAGCAGGGGTAATGGCGATGAATGAAAATGCGCCTACTCGCACAGCGGTCTCTAAGCTGCAACGGTCTGGCAAAGAGCGCTTCTTCTCTCACCAAATCACCTGAGTTTTGTGCATGGTGTCTAGTCAACAGCAAGCTGGAGACTTTGACATCATTGTGTTTGGGAAAACAAAGCACTGCCGAAGCTCTGCACTGTACATTAAAACCTGTGAAGGCGATCACCCCGATAAGGGGACAGACAGCCTGTCCCAGAAGGCGATCACCCCGATAAGGGGACAGACAGCCTGTCCCAGAAGACCACTGAAACCAGAACCAAGGGAGGCTATTTCCAGTCAAATGACCCTGCAAGGAAAAGGAGACCATCTGGTAACGGAGACCACATTTTGACTGAAGGTCCCCTGATCGGTCGTCGTACACATGTTTCGCTGAATGCGTAACGCGCCAGCTAAGACACGGGAAAATCCCTTGTGTAATACTTACTTTGCGGAGGCTTGGTGGGCGGAAGGCTATTTCCGTTCCGCTCGGGACTTCCCGCAGTCTTTGCGCTCGGCTTTGAAGCACACTGCTGCCGAGGATCCAAATGGTTGTGGACGGACTGCTGAGCTGTCGTTCTCCTTGCGCAGGCCTGTTGTGATGAAGCTAGCCGGGCTGAAGCTGGGGATTTGGTGCGTGGCTCTCGGTGGCCGTTTTGGTGCACGTGCAGCAGCTGGGCATGCTGGTCGTTGCTGATAGGGACGGTGACTGTGTGACTGCTTTTTGTAGAGGCATTGGTTATGTGGCTGTTGCTCGCAGGGTCGACGTTCACTTTTCGGCTGTTATCTGACAGGATGAAGTGTTCGTTACAGGCTGTATAGCCGAGTGGTGTGCCGCGATCCGGCACACTGTCGCCCAGGCTGGTACAGGTGTCTGACGACGGTCGTGGCCACGTCAGCGAGGCATTGCTGAAGTCACCGTCCTCCACCTGGCATGCCTGTGTGTGCCGGTCATCCTCCGCCTGGCATTCCCGCGAGTGCTGCCGCTGGTGGCTGTAGCCGGAATCGAAAACGGAATCGTGCCCGTCATCGTCTCCCGCTCCTCTGCTGCCGCTATTGCTGCTGCTGGTACTGCCGCTACTGCTGCTGTCCACGCTGCTAAAGCTATCAAAGCTGTCGCCGCTGTCGTTGCTCGACCAGTCGGAAACTGCTGCGCCGGCATCGTCGTCCTCAGCAGACGCCGCCGCGCACCCGTGATGACTAGCTGCTTGAGCGAACTGGAACCGGGAATTCTGAACTCTTGCCGCACAGCACCGCCTGCATTGATTTCCTCCACCTGGAACACACACACAGCGCAAGGGACAGGCATTCGGAACAAGATTGTGAGATGTGATTAACCATTTGGTGGCCGTAGGTCGATTTCTACCTTTGCTGACAGTGCATCCTACAATTGAATGCAGAGCCGGTCTCGTACATCTCAGATGCCTGGTTTTGTATACGGAGACTCCTTAGCAGCCGGCGTATTGTTTGAAGCATGCTCAGTTTATTGAAAGTACCTCAGGTTCCTGTAAAATTGTAGGATGCGCAGGTACACTTTCCTGCCTGCCCATGGGGCGTCACATCTCATCAGAGTCCCACTGTGCTGTGCTTAGTTCCCATGCTGTGAGTGTGATGCCTGTGAGTGTGATGCCTGTGAGTGTGATGCCTGTGAGTGTGATGCCTGTGAGTGTGATCACTGTGAGTGTGATCACTGTGAGTGTGATGCCTGTGAGTGTGATGCCTGTGAGTGTGATCACTGTGAGTGTGATCACTGTGAGTGTGATGCCTGTGAGTGTGATGCCTGTGAGTGTGATCACTGTGAGTGTGATCACTGTGATGCCTGTGAGTGCGGTGGGGAAGGGGTCAGGTTGGCTTGAGCAGAGGGATACACAGTCATGCACTAGGCTATGGTGAGTACAAAACACAAAAATATTGTCTGTTTTCTGGTTCTGCAACTCGTCTTCAATCTGTTTACGTCGCCCTGCTACTAGTAATCTTTTGAACGGTTGCGTGGAGCATGCTTGACTGTTAAAGGGGAAGTTAAGGCAAAAATTAAAATTTCACCAGTTGTAGTCTTTGGGGTGCTGAGTCGAATGGTCTTGGTCCGAGAAAGCTGAGACGCTCCCTTCCTACTTGAATCCCAATCGAACTCGCGCACTTCCACCGAAACTGGGTGACTGCGCCCTACGAGATGGGGATTTGTATGCAAAATGTCACTAAAAGCGCCATTTCGTTCTTATAAAAGCACGGATGACCGCGATTGGCCCATATGTTGTAGTCTTTTGGACGCTGAGTCGACTGGTTTTGGTCCGAAAAGGCTGCGATGCAGCGTTCCTCCTTTATTCCCAATCGAACATGGTTGAAGAAGCGGTCACGTGCTCCTGGGTGCCAAAATCACCTGGTCACCACGCCAGCAGGCGACAACTTTCACACCAAGGTTCAACTCGAGTGACAGGACTGCACCCAAAAAAGGTCAAAACAGGCTGTAAGTTGTACCCTGCAGGCACGGTGACCAGGTGACTGGTGTACGCAGGAGCACGTGACCGCTTGTTCAACCATGTTCGATTGGGAATTAGGGGCGAACGCTGCATCGCAGCCTTTTCGGACCAAAACCAGTCGACTCAGCGTCCAAAAGACTACAACATATGGGCCAATCGCGGTCATCCGTGCTTTTATAAGAACGAAATGGCGCTTTTAGTGACATTTTGCATACAAATCCCCATCTCGTAGGGCGCAGTCACCCAGTTTCGGTGGAAGTGCGCGAGTTCGATTGGGATTCAAGTAGGAAGGGAGCGTCTCAGCTTTCTCGGACCAAGACCATTCGACTCAGCACCCCGAAGACTACAAGTGGTGAAATTTTGATTTTTGCCTTAACTTCCCCTTTAATTTTACCTTGAGCACGTAGCTGTACGTTGCCCTCGATGTGTACAGCATGTGAATGGCCTCTGCCGCCGCTGCCTGCGATGAAGTCTCCTCCATGGCGCTCACTAGTCGGGGCGTCCGTGATGCTGCTATCCTGGCTCATGAACGAGTCGAAGTCCAGTGTCCCTGCTGCAAGAATCAAAGCATCGCAGCAGCAACACGCTTTACAGCTTCTGCAACAGCAGGCCACCGATCCGAAA